GGTATGTTTGGCAGTTAGTGGGTCCATTACTTGCGGGCAAGCTACATGGGGATTGCTGCAGACGAGCGTTCATATTGACCGCATGGTAAAACTATCATACAGCGAGGGAATTAGTCAGTCACAAACTAAAACTGCTTGACCACTCTCTGGAACCGCTGTGGCTTCCGCATGAACTTTTCAGGCTCATCGCGAGCCCCCTTCTTCCAGTAATCATACTCCATCCAGGCATTCTCCGGCATCTGCGCCTCGGTCGCCTCGAGAAAGTCACCCAGATCCGGATTCAGAGGAATCACACCCGTCTCGATCACGTACTGATCCCACAGTTTCAGCAACTGCTTCAATCGCTCGGGATGAACATCCGCCAGGTCGTGCACCTCGCCAGGATCGTCGGCCAGATTGTACAGCTGCCATCGCTCGGGACCCTTGGGTTTCGGAATATATACGATCTTCCAGTCACCGAACCGAAGCGCCGCACGGCCGCAGGTCTCCCATCCTTGGATGAAGTCCTTCTCGTGAATCCGTTCCGACTCACCCCGCGCCCACGGGTAGAAGCTCTTGCCGCGCATGGGAACCACTTCACGACTTTGGTACGTGGGAGCCGGATGCTTGACTCCCGCCATGTCAAGAATAGTCGGCGCGAGATCCATGACCGTTGCAAACTGGTCCGTAATCCCACTCCGCGCTGCAGGCACGTTGCGGGGGAACCTGGCCAGGAAGGGGACGCGGACGCCGCCTTCAGTGGTGTAGGCTTTGTACAGACGGGACGGGGCGGTGGCAGCCTGCGCCCAGCGCGGCCCGTACCAGATGAACGAGTTGGCATTGCCTAGATTTTCGAGACTGTTGTCGTAGTATTTCTGGAGATAGGGCATGACGCCGCTCTGGACCATGGGGTAGGCCTCGTAGGCGGCGCCCTCGGCGCCGTTGTCGGACATGAAGCAGACAAAGGTGTTGTCCAGCTCGCCGATGGAGGCCAGGTAGTCGACGACCTTGCCGACGTTGGCATCGATGCACTCCACCATGCCCGCATAGACCTCCATGGCGGTGCACGACTTCTTCTTCTCCTCCGGGCTGTAGTCGGCCCATTCTTTGACCTCGTCCGCGACGACGGGGTGAGGCTCCACGTCCGGACGGATCATCCCCAGCTCCTTGAGCCGCTGCAGTCGCTTCAGACGCAGCGCATCGGGTCCGTCGTCGTAAACGCCGCGGTAATGGTCGATGTACTCGCGGGGCGCCTGGAGCGGCCAATGCGGGGCCGTGAAGGGCAGGTAGGCGAAGAAAGGTCGCTCGTCCTTTTTCTCGTGCCAGTCGGAGAGATACTGAAGCATCTTGTCGCCGTATCCGTCGGACGAATACCACCCCTCCGGCAACCGCTTCACGTAGTGATCATCTTCCATGTGGAGGGCGATGTAGCTCGCTTCAAGGAATGTAGGCGTGTCATCGGACCCCTGGAGCTGCGGCTCGTAGGCATAGTGGTTCGAGCAGGCAGGCAGATGCGCAAACGAGCGCTCGAAGCCTCGCTTGTGCGGCGATCGCTCGGGCGTGAGGCCCAGATGCCATTTCCCAGACATGACGGTGTGGTAGCCCGCATCCCGCAGCAGCTCGGGCAGCGCGACGACTCGCTCGTTCAAGTAACCCTCGTAACCGGGCATGCCGCGCTGGGGCGCCGTGCTCATCTGGGAGCCCTTGGGTCCGTTCTGCCCGGAGATGTTGGTCCATTCGATCAGGTTGCCGAGACCTGCGATGTGGTGGTCTGTCCCCGTCATGATCATGGCGCGGGTGGGACTATCGCGGTTACTCCAGGTCAAGAGGGCGATCTAATGCTAGAGAAAAGACACTCACGAACAAGCAGCCGCCGCATGAAAGTCTGTGAAACGGACGCCTCCATTTAAAGCAAGACGATCGATGTTGGGTGTGCGGATTTCCCCTCCGAAGCATCCTACATCGGAGAAGCCCAAGTCGTCGGCGACGATGACGAGGAAATTGGGACGTTTAGCCATGATAGAGCAACAGATTGGTGCCGAGAATGGAGCAGGGAGATCTGAAGGGAGGAGGGGAGATGAGGGGAGAGCAGCGCTCCCCATCATATTATGTATGCCATTATGTATCAGCTCAGCCACCAGTGATGGTTGCTATCGCTGTATATTGTACACCAATTGAATTGCGAATTTAGTTGACTTGATAAACCAAGACAGTCCAGTAGGACTACTTGCCGGATGATCTTCCTTCATTTGACGACCATCGCCCATCGGCTGTCGGCTGTGTAGCCATGTCAGGAGTGTACCTGGCTGGACATTTGCTGTTGGATGTGTCTATATTATTGGCTCACTTGACAGACTTCCCATAATAGTCATCACAACTCCTTGGGACTAAAGTTTGAGTGGGGTTTTATTCCCCGTCAGTGAGCGGACTGCGGGGTGGCCGGATTTGGTGATCACTGACGCCTTAGATTGTTTATACAGCGTCCTCACAGCTGCAATAGCATCGTGCTTGTGCCTGTTATTCTCGTCTTTCTCTATTAAACTGCATCTTTCACAGTCCATCATGGCGTGATCTCTCCACTCTGTTGCGCAGTCGGCAGTCGGCTAACAGATACGTCATGCCCCTGACATAATCAGACAGCGGTATGTTGATCAATCTCAGCGTCAACAGTACACTCACAATGCTATCATTACATGGCTTGGTTCCTTGCAGGAGCGATCCTCTGGATCTATCTGATCGGGTATCACCACGTTGATTCCTTTCCAGCGTTCTTACTGGGAGAACCCATGTCGCTATTTCATGCAGGACCGGATGTCTTGTTGACACTTGCTCAAAATGAGGTCGTACACCCAGCTTCCTCAACAGGATCCTGACGATCTTGATCTTGTTCCTCCTGACCCCACCGAGCAGACGGATTTCCGTCTTGCCGGGTTACGGCTGTTCTGGCTGGCAGCTGTGCTTTGCTGCGGTGGTGCGTTGTTTGGGTATGACTCCGGGGTGATTGGTTAGTCCTCGATCATTACTCCTGTTATGTTCGAACGCGAGGCTGATGATCTACAGGAGGAGTGCTCACCTTTGAGTCCTTTGCGCGCGACTTCCGATACAGTCCCGCCGAAAAGACCTGCGTCAGCTCCATCGCCGTCGGCATTCAGCAGGCCGGCGCCCTGGTAGGCTGCTTCGCCGTGTGGCCCGTGACGAACCGCTGGGGCCGTCGTCTCGCCATGATGGCATGTTCTGCTGTTTTCTGCGCGGGTGTCATCCTCGAGGTCATCAACTCGCACTCGCTGGCCCTGTTCTACGCCGGCCGGGTGATCTGCGGCCTGGGGATTGGAGGCTCCGCCACCGTCATCCCCATTTACATGGCCGAGATGAGCCCTAAGGAGTCGCGCGCCCGCCTCGGCAGCTGCTACCAGTTCACCTACACCATTGGCATCCTCGTCTCGTACTGGATCGACTACGCCATCAAGTTCATGCCCGCCTCCCCAGCCCAATGGCAGATCCCCATCGCCCTGCAGCTCGTTCCCGGCGCCCTCATGGGACTCGGCACCAGCACTCTTCCGGAGAGCGTCCGCTGGCTCCTCGCCAAGGGCGACCACGCCCGCGCGCACTCCAGCCTGCTCTGGATCCGCGCCGCGTCCCCATCCTCTCCGGCCCTCTCCGCCGAATTCACCGACATGCGCCAAGGCCTCGAGCAAGAGCGCGCCGCAACAGCCAACTTCCACCCCCGCGAGCTCCTCGCGGGACCTAACGCCCGCCGCCTCCTCCTAGCCTTCGGCCTCTTCCTCGCTCAACAATCCACAGGCGCCACCGCCCTCGCCTACTTCGCCCCGCAGTTCTTCTCCCTCCTCGTCGGCCCTAGTGACAGCGATAGTGAGAGTACCACCCCTCTCCTCCTAACAGGCATCTTCGGCGCCATAAAAGTACTATCCTGTCTCTTCTTCCTCCTCTTCCTCTCCGACCGCTTCGGCCGCCGCCCACTCCTCCTCTCCGGCGCAGCAGCCATGTCCGCCTGCATGCTCGCCACCGCCGCCGTCCTCAAATCCTACCCCCGGGCACCCGCCTCACCAGGAACCCCAGCAGAAAGTATTACGCCAGCAGCAATCGCAACCATCACCCTAATCTACCTCGACATCACAGCCTACAATCTCTCCTGGGGCCCCCTCCCCTGGCCCTGCGTGTCTGAGCTCTTCCCCACGCGCATCCGCGAGCCCGGAGTAGCGGTGGGCGTCGGCGCGCAATGGATGTTCAATTTCGTGTGGTCGTTTAGCACACCGTTTATTCTGGCAAAGATTAAATGGGCTACGTTCTTGCTGTTTGGGGGGTTGGATCTGCTGATTGTGGGGTTTGTGTGGGGGTGCGTGCTGGAGACGAGGGGGAAGTCGTTGGAGGAGATTAGTGCTTTGTTTGAGGGGGATTCCCGTGATTCGGAAAGTCGGAGGGAGGCTGGGTGTGAGGCTGCTAGTAATGGTGATGGGGATGGTGATCGTAGCAAGGATGGGAGTATATTGCATGTGGAGGCTGGAAGTGCCTCTTCGTGATACTAAGTATTATATAGCTTAGACGAGAGAATGACACTGAATATTGCATTGCCATTACTGGTTGAGCAGTCTGAAAACACTTGTTGCTGCTAAATCTCTACTGGTACAACTATTGAATAGCATCGAGCAGGCTTGATTCGCCTAATGTACATCTATCATTCATGAATTACTATCATCATGAGTACTCCTGGTACCCAGTCGCAGAGGAACCTCCCTTGAGCAAGCCAGCATCAAACCAAAAGCAAAGCAAAGAAAAGCACAAACCATCCATAAACCATTGTAAGAATGATACCGCCTAGCATCCTCATTAAACTCCGAATAATCAAGCAGGTTCATTCGCCATAAGGTAAAATAGCAAGCAGGCTAATCCGCAGACCCTTGTTTCCATACTTTTCCCAGCCAGGCGCCAGTATGGATCGTAGTAGTAGTAATAGTCATTAAAGCAAAGCACGAGGTCATTGTCACATCAGGGGTTGAAAAGGCTCAAACATTGATCAAATCGTCAAAGCTGTCGTCGGTCGAAAAGGCATAAGAGTTCTCCGTCAGGACTGAAGCCTCCGAGTCCCGACGGACGGACTGGTCCATCGACTCGCCGGCACGAGAGGGTTCCAGGTGCAGCGGATCATCAAAGCCAAAGGACAGCGCCTGCTGAGGTCGAGGGGTCATCGGCCCTTCTGAAGAGGATGCTGCGTCCCGTACGTCGGTCAACTCCGGGGCCGTTGTGTCATTGTAGGTAATCTTCTTCACCATCTGTGCCAGATGAAGCTTGATCGGCTCATCTCCGCATTGAGCGTGCTTCAGGACTTCGTTCTTCAGGCCAAGAATCTCCGAGCGCAGGCGTGCAATCTCAGACACCAGTTGCTCCTTCTTGTCAGACTGCTCCCTATATCGCGACTCAAGAAGCTGTGTATGCTCTTTCTTCTTCTGCCGGCATTTGCTGGCGGCCAATCGGTTGCGTTCCAGAAACTTCTCCCGCTTCGCCTTTTCCTGCTGCTGTTCGTTGTATTCGGCCTGGGTCATCTTGGAGTCGCGACCCTTGCGACGTTTGGAGCTGCCGCCGTTGCTATTTATGGCTGACTGCTCACAGAAGCTTCTACGATCGTTATGGGTCTGGAAATTTTGTGCTCCGTTGGAGAATTGGCACTGAGACAGCGAGTATAGATCACCGACCGTGTGCGTCTTGTTGTCACCGTATGGAGGTGGAGTAGGCTGGCCATTGCGGACATGGGAGTGCTTGAGGTCGCGTTCAAGGTTAGGATTGGAGAACATCTGCTCGTTCTTTCCGTTCCATGAGGGCATGGAGGAGGACATAGGACTCATACCCCAGAGATGCTCTTCGTCAGGGAGAGAGAGTCCCAGAAAGTCACCAGAGTATGAATTAGGAGGAGCAAACGGAGAGGGGCCAGGGTTGACAGCATTGGGACCAGGCATTGCAGACCGACCAAAAGCGGATTGCTCCGGTAACATATTGAGAGTGGACATCGGGAAGCGATGGTTGCACGATGCGTTGTACAAGGGGGTTCGAGCTGAAGAGTACGCCACAGACAAATGGTATTTGAATTAGGTATGGATGAGAGAGAAAGTTGTCAAAAATGATATTAAAGGAGCAAGACAGAAAGAAGAAGAAAACAAGAAGACGTCGACGACGAGTGAGTTAGATATCTATAGCAGCCGTGGATTGATTGATAGGACGGGAGTGTAAGTGGCGGGCCGAGAAGTGACAGCTTGATCCGGCCAAACAATCAGAGCGGAAGGGGTAGCGGGAAGGATTTGCTTGAGACTTTGTAGGTTTAGAGGCAAGGGACAAAGGAGGTGCAGAGGGAGGAGGGAGAGAGAGCGAAGAGGAGTACCGTAGTTGGTGGTAGAGGCGGACGTGGATAGCCTTATCCAAAGAGAAGGAAGGAAGGGCGAACAAGGCGAATAAGAAAGGACAGGAGAATAAAACCGCGTTGGCGAGGAGGAGACGAAAAAGGGAATTTAGCTAAGATGAGTCTAGAATCTGTAAAGAACCCCGGAGAACGAGAATTGAGAGGGAGGAAATGGAGTGGTGTGTGGTCAGATCCGAGTTGTTGCAACCAGGGAGCGCAAAAAGCATGGAAGGAGAAACAAAGTGGGGAGTGTATGGAGTGGCTAGACAAGAGGGAACGCTGAAGAAGAGGAGCAGATCAGTTCAAGGGAAGGGTGGATGATGACAGAGAAAAGGAAGAACAAGTTTTGAGGAAAACCAGACAGAAATCACTTCCATGTACAGATGATAGACAGGACAATCATTGAGGTTGAGACTGCAATTGTTTGCGATTCCAACTGCCCCCTGCCAATGTGGAAGTAAGAGAGTCAATCATTTACTGCTCAGATAAACAGCGCATTTATCCTGTATGATATATATGTTACTACAATATAGTTCCCTGTTTCTGTCTCTTAAATAGGGAGTAGTAATGTGGTACCCATAGAAAGGCTGTGGTTATAAGACGCCAGAATCAAAACTTATATAACCCCAACGAGGAAATAGACCTGCGATAGCGTTATCTATCTACTTGAAGCCCCCCATGATGAGATTAATGGCGACATCTAGCAGTCCCGTTGGTGGACGATCTCGACCTGTAAGAACCCAGAACTTTGTGAGATGGGAGGGGACAATCTGAATGGAATTGACGGAGGTTAAAGAGTTGATGATGGCGGTAGGGACCATCATTGGCTGGGACACGCGGAGGGAGCAAGAGCAACATGGATTGACTGGGAGAACCATAAGAGTGATAGACTAAGAATCCACCGTTTTTCCTTGTTTCCTCCCCCTTTAGGCAGGGGATCAAGGGCAGAGGCCTGAGGCCCGAGGCCCTGATCCAAGAACAAAGGTACGTGGTACTATGTATCTATCCGTAGAAAAAGTAACGTACTTTGCTGACCCTCGACACCTGTGGTACTTCCACAACCAGCTAGAACAGATGAGAGGTACTTTCCTAAACAGGCAGGGACAGTTTCTTTCTCTTCTCTGATTGGGCTGAGTTTTATTCCGGACACCAACCCCCACCAGAGCTGGAACATAGTGACGTCATTGACAGGCTGACTCAGCGTTTGTGGCCGCTGATTCGCTTCGCCACTTGGTTTCTCTGATGGTTTTCCGTAATCCGTACCGGGTTAGGTGGCTCTGATTAAGGTACTGTATATCCGCAAGTCCCTCTTACTCGCAGCAGACATGCCAGACTCTCAATAGTAGACCCTTCCAGCCTTCCTCCCTTGCATCCGCACGTGCATATTCAATGTAATATGAGATATGACAGCTCTCCAGCATTTAATAATCGCCACCTATCCTCTGCATAGCTAACACATCAGGAATTCAAGAACCTGAGATGCCAGGTACTCGAGTTGCTCAGGCCTCACACTGAGGTACACGTACACACTCTCAACCACGGCAGTCCTGCTGTCAACCTGCCACTCACCCTTATAACCATGGATACGGCCAACACCTCGAAGTCAGAAAGGAAATAGATAGATAACTTACAGTTCTGCACATTCATGGATCGACGTTCAGGTTCAAGCCAAGGTATGATGCTAACGATCACGTCACCTCCAACATCGCTCCACTCAGGTCAACAGTTAAGACCTTGGCTTTTATCTGTAGTGCTCCACTGAGTACTACTCAAATATCAAGATAAATCAACAAGTTATCTACAAGAGACAGTCAAGACACGCGTCTGTCTCACCCAGCGAGCCCGGAATCCAGAGTGCTCGTCCCCATCGGTCCAGAATCAGGTTTACCCTGCATCCAAGGGATCATCACCTCATCGAGCCCATCTTCCAATGTACTCCATACACTCCATACATATTCTGGTCCGCATCCCGGAAAGAGTCCCGTCAAGGTATCTGCTTCCAGTGGTAGAGGAACGGACGTAGACTACAATCTGCCGGTCCAGAAATCCGACAACTCAGCGTTCAGGGATCGGCGTCTGCTCCACCCTTCGGATCGCTTGTCCTTGGTCCAAAGCCCAGGAGAGGCAAACGGGGCAAATGCAGTAACGCACTCCCACTAGGTGTTTCATCCTCCACCTCTCCAGCTAACTCAACTCAATTCCAATTCCAACTACGAGAAACTGGATCTGATCTTGGGGGGTTTTCTTATCCTTGGCCAACCAAGTACATACCCTATTCTTATTGTACTCATTTCATGTACTCAAGACATATATATACTGTACATCCATCCATATAAGGAGTGTTCTCGCTCAGAGCTCTGTCTGGGAGTAGAAACTTGTGGACGTAAAGTATGGTCGGACTTCCAGACAGTGGATAGTGGTTGAGATATATCCTTCCAAACGCTTGATCCGGGACCTGTTGGAACGAACTTCAAAGGGTCTACTGAACTACCCACTATCTAGATACAAAGTATGAATCCTATCAACAGCTGAGACCACCGCGATCTATCTAATAGGGTAGCTACCCACCAATGGTATGGTCAGACTGCCATCCTTGTCCATAATACAGTCGTACTTCCGTCAGGGGTAGAAGACTAGGCAAGCCGCTTGTGTCATAATGATGATGAAAGGTACTGCTGGAGATCGTCTTTTTCCCCCGCATTCACTCTTGTCTACCAACCAATTCAGCTATTGTACACGAATCCCGACCAGGATGCCCTTGGCTGTCCGCTGTCTCATTCATCGAATGGCCTCTAATTGGGTTACACCGCGGCTCAGCCTGACTAGAAAACCAAACACCATCAGGTTATATCAACAAATCATTCTACAAAGTCCAAGAATCGTCCCGTGCCCACAAGCCGGCCCGTTGAACCAAGCACAGATTAATGATCCATCATCTGCTCCATCCAAGCTATTCCGAGCCCTCAGTCGACCAAGATATTGTAAGTCGCTCGGGCACGTGCACTTGATCTTCCCAAACCCGCATTTGGCGACTCACGGCTCGCCAGTTAGCAATCAGCATCATCGCCACATATGTGCGATTCATTTCAAGTATGCGCAGGGTCTCCAGATCATAAGCACCTTCTTCTGGCCCTTGATCCGTCAGCAGGGGCCCAAAGACTTGGCCGAGCCCTTCCAATATCTGCGAACGCGTCACGAGTTCAAGTTTTCCAACGCCAGTTCTGTACCCATGCCGCTCATACTCCACAATTCGTCTCGTTTCATGCACGTAAAAGGCACATAATCCGAAAACAGCGCACATCAGCTCTAGTTGCATGGGACCCGCCAAGGCTAGAATGGCGAGGCCAATCGCTTTGATCCTTGTGTACCTTGCTTGAGTTAGCCCTCCGAGACAGCTACGCGTCCGTTTGAGCTTTTGGTCAGGGCTGTTGAGCTTGTCCTCCAAAGAAGGAGTCTTGATGTAGATATCCAACAAGGCGCTGTACAGGTGCGTGGATCCCAAAATGCCGCCAGGAAGCCCAGCAAGCAGGCGCTTGAACACCCACCCGACGCTGAGGATGTGAGTCGAATGCCGCTGCGACTGGATTGAACTCAGGATGCTCATCAATTCGGACGGCATCTCGCCACTGCCCATCGTAATCTGAATCTTGTCCTGCTCTCTCTCAGTGGATAGCACCTGGCTGGCGAAATAACCATATATCTGTGCAGCCGCGCCCAAATCACCCGGATCGAAGAACAAGTCTCGGACAAGTGGACCTGCAGCTCGCCTTGGTAAGCAGATATTCATCTCTGAGATTCAGGGGATGCATACCACGACATCTCAAATAGGTCGCCGTCGCCACAAAGCACACGGGTAATTTAAGTGCCGTCGGTGCAAAGTCTCCGGGATAGGCCAAGAAGCTGTGGCCCCCAAGGCGAGCTAGAGTTTCCAAAGACTTCCCGGCTAGGGCATCCATCCGATAAGAACAGTAGGAGAGGTTGGCAAATGTTTTCATTCGACGCAACTTTCGCTCCTGTGGCATACTCTGGGCCTTGAGATGGAAGGTCGATCGCACTGTTCTGATCCGACGAATAATCCTATCCCGCCGTCGAGGCAGCTCCCCCGCAACGTCGCAGGGCCGCGAGCCTGATATCCGCGTCAAGTTTTCATCAGCAACCACCCTTAAATGCCGTCAATGGGGATACACTCAACTTACCTGAAGTGGGGTGAGCATGAGAGCAATCGCCGCCTCCCTGATGTCTAGGATTGCTCAAGGGCAAAGGTTTTAAATTCAGTTTGATAGCTAGATCATTAAACGCTATGGCGGCTTTGCGCCGATCGAAAATGTCCGACCAATTGCCCTCATCCAAGCACGACATGGGGAGAGAGCTCTCCCGTGACAAGCTTCCCATGATATCCAGGTCGGTGCAGATGACAGGCCTTCTTGACCTTTTGTAGACATGGAGGTTCTGTGGCTTCTGAGAATCGGTAAGACTATAGATGGAGCTGGAGTCCCTGCTGGATCGAGAGGCGGCTTTGAATCGGTCTGTGAATGGGTTGGAAACCGCTACTAACTGGGGCGACTCCTCAACTTCATCGAAAGGATTCTCGTATATATA